TCGGATTCCAACAGTTTTGAGTTGGGTGGTTGGTGCGCTTACGGCTTTGTCATGTTGCATAATTATATGCTTGTTAGTTGAGAGAATTTATGGTTTAATTAGTCACCGTTAGATGTTAGTTTTTGTTCCAAAAAGTTAATGAAATTTCCACTAAAATGTAAAAGATAAGGAATGTCATTAGCATTTCACTTAACAACCTAGCGGAACTACAGTTGGTGCAGAGATTGGTTGCTTGTGTTTTCTGGGCTCTAGCGGCCATTTTAAGTAAACAAAATAAATAAATTAAAGTTCACTTCTGAGTGGTTAAGAATCCAATGAGAAGAGTTTTGTCTTGATTTGGGCAAGGAAAGAACTCCCGTAACGGAAAGGGAGGGTGTGCGTGGTTTTTCATGATCTGGTGCTCTGCTCACTGCCGAAGGAATCTGCGAGGCGGGACTGGGCTAGTAGACACTGCCAACTTCAAAAAGAAACCGCAAAAATAAAATGGAAAATAGCCAAAATGCAACTGGAGTTGCCAAGGCATTTCATCAATTTCTTTTAAGAAAATTTATGTATAATTTCCTTAAGTAAAATATGGGGTTTTATTTTACACTTGATTGTAGTATCTTTGGAGTGGAATTGAGAAACTTGAGCTCAGGCACATATAAAACTTTGCTTCGGAAATATGTTGGTATTGTGAGTAAAGGAACATTTGTGGTTGGCTATTTGTACTCGGAACCCCCTTTACTCAAACCTTAGTGTAGACTAATAATTTTAGATCTGCTTGACATTGTATTCACAGTTGAAAACAGCTTTAAATTGCTTAATTTAGGCTACAATAGTATAAACGATTTGTTAACAATGATGGAATGTGTTTTTTAATTTATTTATTATGAATAATTATCTGTCTGCGACACTTAGAGCATGTGATTCATTAGTTGATGTATAATTTTTTGTTTAAACATTAATTCATTGATTGGAGTATAAGTTTAAATTCTTTTTCCTTTAATAATATAAAAAAATAATTACCTGCATATGACATGCCACGTATCATACCAGAATTTTAGTGATAATGAGAAGTTATATTGACTTATGGTTGGCTGTTTACGCGACCCATACATTCCTCTTTGGATCTTTGGTTTTTTTTTTTTCTTTTCCTTTTGGGACATGTTTGGAAGTTTAAATGGTTGACGTCTTCTTTCGCTTGCTTACGTGTTTTTTTTAACACTTTTTGTGGGAAGTAGGAATGAATTGCGACTAGTTCTCTGGCAGGTGTAAATCTCATACTTGCAAGTTGGTTGAGATCTCATCAGAAAGTCATTTCTGTTTCTATCACATGCTGATATTTTCTGGCATGGCGGTTTCCGCCCCATTGGGTAACGCACGGCACATTCAAGTCCAGAACTTACTTCGCTCACCCCTCACCTTGTTCGTTAGCAGAAGTTGGAGTTAAAACATTTTTAAAGAGAGTCAAATAAAAAGAGACATTTAACAGTT